TTCCCTTACGGTACTTGTCGACTATCAGTCTCGTGCCGGTATTTAGCCTTAGATGGAGTTTACCACCCGCTTTGGGCTGCATTTGTCATGATCTCGGCGCTGATGGTTTGGTTTTTTCCTTTGCTCCTTGCTTTCCTGTCTAATTGGTTATGCGGCTGATTATTGCCGATCATTTCCACCTGGTTCCCCTACTATTTAAGTTGTGCGTTTGCCTCCCATCAGCGCCGGGTTATTCTTGTGTTTTTGAGATACGTTCCCCAGCAATCTGTAGTCTGCCTGTTTCCCTGATATTGACCAGTTTCTGCCCTGAGGATTTCGAGTTTTTTGCCTTGCCCCTGTCTGCTCTGTTTGTCCTGTCTTATCCTGGATTCTACCGGCTTCTGAACCTGATACTGTCGTCTGACTTCGGCCTTGGATTTCCCCTCTGGACTCTGTTGCTGCTCGGCGTCTGCTGCGCGCTCTCAAGGAACTCTGGGGGCGTCTGCGGTCAAACCTCAGCAAACGGACTGAACTTTGAATCAGGTCAGTGACTTTGCTCCAAGTCGTGTTAAACTCCATATCCAGTCACTGATCTGTATTCTCCCATTTCTGCAGAGAGCCGCCCCGCAGCAGACGAGCAGCCCCGCGCACCTGTTTGGTTAAATAAACGCTTTGAACTTTCCCACTGTCTGTCTCGCCTCGAATTCTGGGTCCTACATTCTGAGATCATTACAGCATTCCCAAACAACCCGACTCCGAGAAGACCGAGCCCCGGCGCAACGGGGGCCGTTACCGGCCTCACACCGTCTACGGGCTGAGCCTCGATCAGGAGGACTCAGGCCCCCGAGCGACACCGGGCAAAGCGGTCTTCTGTATGCCACATTTCCCACGCCCGCCGGTCGGACAGGGATTCGGCGCTGGGCTCTTCCCTCTTCGCTCGCCGCTACTGAGGGAATCCTGGTTAGTTTCTTTTCCTCCGCTTAGTAATATGCTTAAATTCAGCGGGTTGTCTCGTCTGATCTGAGGTCGCAGTCGAATGGAGCGGAGGGTCTGGGCGCCGCCACGGCCCCCTTTCGGAGGTCGCCACGGACGCGCCGGGCCCCCGTGTGCGTGGCTCCGTAGGGGCGGGTGGCTCCCACGGAGGCTCACGACGAGCTCGGAGAAAAGGCGACCGGGTTCCCCGACGCGGCGACGGCAGAGGCCGGTCCCGGACCGCGCCACCGTCACCCGGTTCGTCCTCCCCCTTCAGACCCCGGCGCTCCCCCCGCTAGGACTGCCCGCCTCCGCCAGCCGGAAAGACACCTACCCCGCCGGCACGCCGGGTGCGGGCAGCAAGGAGAGCCAGAGCCCACCGCCAGCCGCGCCCCGCACGTGAGCGGGGAGAGGGCCTCCTCGACGGAGAACGGCGCCCCACCCCCCCGGCTGTTTGACCTATCGGGGAGGAAGGAGGGAGCGCTGAGTAAAGGGAGGACAGCGGAAGCGACGGGCACCCGGGGCCGGGTACTCGCGCGTCGCGTCAGGCGTCCCAGTCTCGTCTGCTCTTAGGGGGACGAAGGCGGTCCAGGCCGCCTGCGACAGCCCCAGCCGCGGAGAGGGAGGGCCGGAGCCCTCCCTTTCCGATTGATTGCAAAACGACCCTCAGACAGGCGTGGCCCCGGGAGGGACCCGGGGCCGCAATGTGCGTTCGAAGTGTCGATGATCAATGTGTTCTGCAATTCACATTAGTTCTCGCAGCTAGCTGCGTTCTTCATCGACGCACGAGCCGAGTGATCCACCGCTAAGAGTTGTCAGGTTTCGTGGTTCGGTGTGGACAAGTTCGGAGACGGGAGGGTTGACACGCCTGACGGCGAGGAACCGGCGGGGGTTAGGGTTAGTTTGTGGTTGTGTTCTAGAGGTGTCCCTCTGTCAACCAGATGTGCTGGAAGTCATTGGAAACAGAGAGTTTTCCAGCAATGGGCACAGCAACTTAGGTTAAAAAAAGTCAAAAAGTGCCTTTTTAATTGTGTTTTATTTTGAAATGACACATCAGATGTTGCTGTCAGTTTGTGGTTGTGTTCTAGAGGTGTCCCTCTGTCAACCAGATGTGCTGGAAGTCATTGGAAACAGAGAGTTTTCCAGCAATGGGCATGGCAACTTAGGGTAAAAAAGTCAAAAAGGTGCTTTTTTAATTGTGTTTTATTTTGAAATGACATATCAGATGTTGCTGTCAGTTTGTGGTTGTGTTCTAGAGGTGTCCCTCTGTCAACCAGATGTGCTGGAAGTCATTGGAAACAGAGAGTTTTCCAGCAATGGGCATGGCAACTTAGGTTAAAAAAAGTCAAAAAGTGCTTTTTTAATTGTGTTTTATTTTGAAATGACACATCAGATGTTGCTGTCAGTTTGTGGTTGTGTTCTAGAGGTGTCCCTCTGTCAACCAGATGTGCTGGAAGTCATTGGAAACAGAGAGTTTTCCAGCAATAGGCACGGCAACTTAGGTTAAAAAAAGTCAAAAAGGGCTTTTTTAATTGTGTTTTATTTTGAAATGTCTTTCAGCATAAATACAAAGTCTAAAACTCGAAGCCGTTGTAAATCTATTTCCAGTAGATTAAACATGGACTGGATGCGCGCTTTTATTGTGAAAGCAGCATGTAAATGGTGGTACCATAATGTCTGGAGCTGTCGCGCATGTGAAAATCGAGAGCGGGCTGTTATTTTCGAAGAGGGGCTACCTTTACCGCAGTGAAAATCCACCTCAGACGCAACGCACGCAGTGGCGAGGGTTTGATCCGTCAGATGGAGTTAAATCACAAAGAATTCAATGTTGAATCGGGGCGGCAGCTAAATGCTAGGCGATGGGTAGCAGCCTAAACGTTGCAATTTCACATAATCCTGACGAGGTCCGAAAAACCGTAGCAAAAACTAGCAAGCGGGTGATTATGTATGTTCACTAAGTAAATATTATGTAAATAAACCCTACACTTCTCGCTATAAATGTGATCAAAACCCATTTAAATGCAGAAACTGATTGAAATGATTGATTTTCCCACTAAAAGTTAGAGAAATCTCAGCCATGTTTATACCAAAATGTTACAGTTTCACATTATCTTGAAAAATCTTTGCAAGAAACGAACAAGCAAGTGAATATGTACATTCCCTGAGTAAATATTCTGGCAACAAACTATACATTTCTCACTAGAAATGTAATCAAAACTCATTTTAATGCAAAAACAAACTCAAGTTATTAATCTTTCCACAAAAAATGAGCGAATGTCGGCCATCTATATATATTTTTTTCTTCTCCCAGCTGGAATCTTGAAAGTCACGTGACTAGGACGTAAAACAATAGAAAGCGTATAGGTAGAAGAAACGTAACAGTACCACAAAAAAATGGCCATTAATGTACCTCCACTACGTTTTGCAGTGTGGACCAACGTAGTGGGGGTACATTTTCCCATGAGACTGGGTTGTTTCAGATAACCCATCCTCCTATGATTGATAAACACTTTGCAAAGATTAAAATAAGTCATTTACTTTAGTATAAAACCTCAAAGGAGTTTAGACATAATTTTCTGTTAGAGAGAAATTTGTAATTAGCTGCTATGTCTTAGTAGAACTAGCAGCCAAACCTAAAAAAGCAATTAGGCTATTACAAATGTTGGATCATTGTAATACCAAAAAAGGTTTTTTTTATTAAACATTTTATTAGTGGATACATTGTACATGTCATTTACTTGTGTGAAATAAAAAAAAATCTGATACAAAAACAACAGCTTGTCGGACAACAACTGACAAGGGCCAAAAATGTCACACTGCAACCAATAACAGTGAATTAATGACTTGACTAGAGATGAAACAAATGCGAGTGAAAGTACATAATCCAATCATTTCTTCATATGTCACATCTGCTTGAATTCAATAGTTAATAACCACTGCAAAACCGTACAGAAGTAGCTACTTGCCCCATTTGAGATTCCTGGTTCAAATGATTGCATACGTTTTAAGACTCTAGCCTGTTTAACGCCCATTCATACAAATCTGGTGTGTGTCATCAAGGAGCAACCTAAAACATGCAAGACAGGGGTACAAGAGGAACAGGGTCAGGAACCACTGAAGAATAGAAAACAGAATACTTAAGGTCAGGGATATTCAACTCCATTTCCCCAGAGGCCGGGTGCTGGAACTTTTAGATTTTTCCCCTCGCTTTAGAATAGGGTTAGCGTTGCAGATGTTTATACTTCAGCAAAAGCCTGTCATCACCAGCAATCAATTGAAATGACATGTACTGAGGGGGATTTAGCCAAGAGCTTCCAAATTTCCCTTTGGGATTAATAGAGCATTTTTTATTTAATTATTATTGAATAAACGTGAATGGCACAGCCTCTGCCCTCCAACAGAAAAGGAAAGCAGTTATTGCTATTGCAACACAATGATGCCCCGTGTGTGGCTGTAACTCTGTCCCACAGTGTGACATAAAATCAAACATTTGCCTCTTTCTTAAAACAAAACTTTTTTGGAATTAATTATGTTTTATTCTTATACCTAACTTGGAATGCTATTTCCGTGTGATGAGGATGCAGAAAACCAGCAGAACTTACATTTGGAGGAACGAGTTTCCTCCTTCACTAGTTCACTTTAACAATACTGCCAAATTCCAGCGAGCCTGCTCTGATAAATGGTCTACTGGCCCTACCCACTATGGGCTTTGGGACAATTCTTAATATGGCGCACCCTCTGAGTGAACGCACAAATGAAAGGTTAGTGCTTATTGTTTGTATTTAAGGACCAGGTTGTGATTCAGCCATCATTTTCTGAACATTACAGAAAACATCTGTTTCACTGATGGCCTCAAAGGGTTGCTCAGCAAAATTCAAGTCCATGAGCTCCATCAGGCTTGCTTACTTATTTTATTTATCAATCTATAGCCTAACATACAGTGTGTATGTATACTATGTATACATATATACAAAGTCTATGTCATGATTTCCATTTTTTATAACTTGTATTTTTTATTACTTTTGTCATTTTCCTGGCTTTTTTTTACCCTTCTATCTTTAACTGAAGGATGCGTAAAGTTTCAAGCACAAACACAGACAAAAAAAGGCAGTGGGTACTCAACCGCATTGAGTAAAATTGCAACTTTAGAGAAAAAACGTCTTTAATATTGAGGGGCAAGATTTGAATCCTAGGTTCTCTGGGAAGGGAGTCAGACCTTAATGAAATCTGTGTGCAAGATATAATGACTTGCCGTGGTGACTCCTGCACAGAGGAGCAGCGAAAGGGACTTGTGAGCACTTTTCAGGACATTCAAATTCTCCAGATGGAAAGGACAAAGATAAAATGATAAAAGTAGTAAAATCATTAAAAATATAATTACTTCCACCAATGGCAGATTTAAGATTATATGATTCAATTTTGCAAAACATTCATTGGATAGGAAATGTAACTATGGCTGAGCCAAGTTGAACTTGTCCTGGATACATCTATGGTTGTGGATTTTATGCTCATGAGAAAACCATTAAAGTTGTAGTATAAACACAAGGACATGGTCTTGCAAAACTAGATTTGTTAATTTAAGTCACAGCTGAAATATTTAGCCATTAAGGTTTAACATGTCCCTGCATTATTCTAACAGCACAGTTTACATCTGTTGAAATCCTGCTTTTGAGTGTAAAACTGTCTGGTTGGCATCCTCCTCAGCTTGAAATAAAATTTCTGCATCTGATTTTTTGCTATTAGCTTTCCCAGAGACACTTGTGTCAGTAGCTCTAGCCCAGGTAGCTGCTCTCTGTTGACTTGTTCCTCCTACATATTGTTGTTCACTTACAGACTCAGTTATTTTAATGATTTTCTTTTAATAGATAATAAAAGTTCATTATGATTCCCTTCATTAGAAATGTTAACAAAAAATAGGATTAAAAAAAAACAGTCTAATGAAGACACTTGACCTAAGTACTATGATAAAATAAAGTCAGTTTTATACACATCTACTGTACTTTTAAGTTTAAACTGTTGTTGCAACTCTGACTGGGGGAGGTGGGACAAACGTTGGAAGAGTCCCAGATCTCTCTGAGGGAGTCTGGAATAAAAGTAAAAAAACAAAGGTCAATTTTAATCTGATTAGTAGATTTCATATTATACAATTTGTATAATATAATTTTGCATTAGTAAAACTACCTGGTGCAACCTATTGTAGTCAGGTGGAGACCTAAGCCCTGCATTCAGCATTTTGTGTGGAGCAGAGTTGGTCTGGATGTTTTTCACCTGAGAAGGACAAATATATTAGAATAGTGTCAATCAGTAGATAAAGAAACAGAAATTTATACAAAATGTTCTAAGGCTGGCAAATTAATCGCCTTGATGCTGCAACTTCTAATTCAAGGTTTTACAAGATGGTCATGAAAATGTTTTGACACAAGTTTATATGCAGACTTTAAAAAAAATATGTCTCTCTCTCTCTCTATATATATATATATATATATATATATATATATATATATATATATATATATATATATATATATATATATATATATATATATCCCAATTTTAACTTTTAATTCAGCATGAATTACTAAACGACACTAAACTACACTAAACAGATACAATTTAATCAGATCATACGCAGATGGATTAGTCTTCATTAATTCTTTACACCAAGCATGCATGCAATGACAGTGAAGAAAAAACTCCCTTTTAACAGGAAAAAAACCCAAGAGAATGAGGCTCAGTGTGAGCGGCCACTGCCGAGGCTGACAGGGGTTCAAGGTGATGGAAGCGAACATACAAAAAGAAGCAGTTATACAAAAGGTGACTGTTAACCAGCTCTGCAGGTGGCCACCATCCAGGAATGACACAGTCAAGCATAAAAGCTTTGAGCAATCCCCAATGTTAAGAGAGCAGTTACAGTAAGTCATATGCCCAACTACCCCTCTGAAGGCCTCCTACCCGGAGTCCATGATACTACAGCTCTCAAGGGGGGATTCATGCAAACACAAAAGGCATGACCCATAAAATTCAAGGAATTTATGTGCCTATGAATTTATGTGCCTGGAAAAAGAAATTTTTGTTGTGAACAGGTGAAGAAATGGATGAATTGCAAAGCTGGACACGCAGGAAAATGAGTCAGCTGACTGTAAATGGGAGATGACGCGGTCTGCTCATGCGCTCTTTGTTATCAGCCCAAGCCTTACTGTTGACCGAGTATTAGATTTGGTGCGGCTCGGTTCCAAAGGATTGGTGTAAATATAGTAAGAGAAACAGGACTACAATGTAAAAAAAGCCAAACTCCAAAATGTATACAAAAAAATGGTGTTTATGGCAGCAGCCCGGCTGACATCTCTTTCCAGGACGAAGTCACAGTCAAACAGGAACAAACCAGATGAAACTACTATGACAAGAAAAAGCTGAGAGATACATGTTTATGAGTGCAACTAACAAATACTGTAGAATTTGGGAATAGGAAAAGAATGAAGAAGGTTGATGAAAAGTGGTTCCTATGTCTTCCAGCAGTCTAAACCTATAGCAGCTTCAATATAGAAAATAGCTCAGGATAAGGTAGGAGAAAGGTAGCACCATTAGGCTATCCGTTTACTTATATTCATTTATGAACAAAAAATAAATACATCAAACCTTCTCAACTGCTCTGGAGACTGGATATCTTGTCTGACGACCTACAGGGGAAAAAAACAAACAGGACACATGATGACGTGCTTCAAGTATGATTCTGGTGTTTCAATCCAACAACTTAAAATGCAAAGACTAAGTATATAAGGTGATGTTGTTAAAATGAATTAATTCTTATTGTGCTTTGTGCCCGGACCACGTTACATAGGAAAGTAAAACTGATCCATAACAACAGAATATGAATAGAAAACATGATTCCTAAATTCACCTACTTTTTTTCTTGTGAAGGTAGAATATTAGAACAATGAGGCCTATTATTAGGAATAGGGTCAGAATGCTGCATGGAATTCCAGCTGCTATACCAGCAATGGCAGGCCCACTCAGCCCTTCACCTAAAGTCAGTCAGAAAGCCATTAGTAGTTTAAATAACACAAACTGATATTAACCTAATTTTAGTCTCTGACAAAAGAGATTCCCCTACCTGGACCAATCCTGTGAACCTCAGATGGCTCTCCATCAGTTAGTCGAGCTTTGGGAATAATTCGAAACCTGTAGGTCAAGTCGGGATCAAGGAAAAATATGTCTGCACTCCTAGCAGATCCAGGTTTCTGTTGAATTATGCGGTATTCATTTGAGTTGCCCTTCGTCATGGCATTTTTCTCATTATTGCTCAGAAGATCTGGTCCTTTCATTTGGATGTCAAAACCTTTGATAAAAGAAAATGTTAGACTTTATTGCACCAGAGCCTTTAGCAGTAATAAAGCTCCAGATTTCAGTCAATCTATGAAGCAATCTAGTCTGTGGTAATAAGTACATAGATATTTGCTTTTCCAAGCACTTCTGCTCTAAGATGTTTTCCCAAAATACAGTTTTGCTCAGCTGACAGGTTTGAACATTACTCAGTGTTTACACCCCTATATTCTTTGAACAGTTTCTATGTTCAACATTTAGTCTGCATTCTTCCTGAGCACTTTCTGCTTAGGCCTACAGTTTCTGCTTTTTCCTAAGAAATTTGTCTGGGAAAAGGACTCAGCCCAGAACTTTCCAAATTTACTTAAAAACTCCACGTTATTTCTGCTTTACCTGTAACAATAGATGTAGGTGGGACCTCCCAGGTCAATGTGATGATTGACCCATCTTGATTAGGGAACAAACTAGAATCTGAGATAGACGGGCCTGAAAAGGGACAGAGGGAGAAAGGGAGTTAATGGGATATAAAGACTGGAGAGCTTTGTTTAAAGGAAAGCACTCCTTAGCTCCCTCACTAAGGGACCATTGTGCCCCTTTAGTAATGCAAGTCATGCTGGCAAATAAAGGTAAATGGAATGGAGCTCTCAAACTTCTGTAAACCAGAGGTATTGACTATTGTAAAATCATGTAAGAAAAAGTAATGATGTACAAAAATTCCTTTAAATTTAAATGGATTACACATAAAATAGCAATTCTCAAAATGTTGGTAAAGACACTCCTCAATAAGCAAGAAAAACATTCTAGACTCACATTTTTATATGAAATCTGTTAGACTGTATAATTTTTTCTAAAATATAGTTTGTTTTTGCTTCTACTTTTAACATTTTTGCAAGCTGTTTTCTCTTTTAACTAATGGCATGTTTTAAAGTCTGTATACTCCAGCTAAGACTAATCGATTACTAAATTAGTTAATAATTATGTTAATAAGTGGTTCATCATGATCAATGGGGATAATTGGTTCAGTCCTATTTATAGTAGTCATTTAGTCAATGAACAAACTACGTAAGGCCCATTTGAATAGTAGTTTTTCAGTTTAATTAGTTAGCCATAATTCTTCTGATATGAGTGTCTTAACTGCATATTCTCTCCTGAGTATACTCTAGTTTTTTATTATTATTTTTTTTTTCAAAATCTAATAAAACAAATAACTTACTACAAAAGGGCATCATGTTCAGTTTATGGTACAATATGCTTTAATTTTTTTACCTGTATATAAATTGAGGCTGTAAAACATTTACATGCCATTTCAGATCAAGTATTAATCCACATGACAAGTACTGCATCATAAAACAGATCTGAATTTAAAGGTTAAAAGATTTAAAATGGGCACTTTGAGATCCAACAAAAACCCTCTTCAGCAAAGATGATTTTGTTTTTTAAGATGCAATATCATAAAAATCTTTAGTAACTTTTCATAATTTCTCCTAGAATTTTAATGAAACAAAGCCTGATCTAAAGAACATAACGATGGATCTGTCAAACACTGTGAATCAAAGAGATTTCACACATTGCATGTTTAAAAGAGGGGGGCCAAATGTTTACTTTTTTCTGCATAGAAAACTTTCCTTAGGTAAGCTAAGAACAAACAAAAGGTCACTTTTATAAAAACTCTTGCCAATTGGAGAAGTCTTACTAAATAACAGACAGTTCAGCCTATCAAACCAGATTATAGTGAATTTTTAAAGCACTTCTAAAGTACAGACATAACCTGTATGCTGCTTTACCTTGCAGTTGGATCTGCTTTTTCTGACTGCCCAGTGGATTACGACAAGTACAGGTGAAATTTGGTGTAAGCAGGAAAGTGGAGATGTTATAACTTCGAATCTTCAGTTGTGTGGTATTACTGCTGATCTGGTATGGGGTCCCGTTGATGACCTCCTCACCTCCTCTAGACCATGAAACCACAGCCTGAGGGGATGCATCACTGACACAGTAGATGGTAACTGCAATTTGTCCATCAGGGTCAACAGTGTTTTTTACAGCTGGGAGGAAATTCATGGGACGACCTGTTAAGCAAGCAGATTCTTGTTAGGGTTGTGTTCAATGTTAAAGCGCATTTTGACTGACTGTTCTTTTTTCCAAACAAAAGGAAGGACAATAAATATTACTTGCTGTAACGCTGCAAGTTTTATGTTCTATTGGATGCTCTGCATTGCAAACAACAGTTTTCTCATCAAAGCTACTGGCATCAGTGACAGTAAGACTGAAGATTCCTGCTCCAGTGCTTGTGGTGCTTAAGTGGGGAAAAGTCAGCTGGGCATTTGGTGTTCCCCCTGCCCACCTGCACTGATACTGCAGATCAGTATTGTTCACAGACAACACCGAGCACGTTGGATCACCCAATGGCCTCTCTGTTACGGGAATAAAAATTAAACGCTCTTAATCACAGATTCATATAATAATTAAAGCATTTTTTAAGGTACTTCAACTATTAAAACCACTTTAGCTTTAATTAAGAAATAAATGACATATTTACATAAAATTAGAAGTTTTTCCACGTACCATAGACAGTTATAGTCACATTCTTCTCCCGCTTCTTTCCACTCAACTCATTGAGCACAGAGCATGTATAAACACCTCCCTGATTGGTCTGCACATTGGTTAAATTTAGGATTCCTTGGTGAAATTCTGAAAGAGTTTGACCCCCAAAGACCCACTCAGCAGCAGGCTGTGGGAAGCCTTCAGCATTGCAGGAGATAATCACGGAGTCCCCAACTTCATAGAAAGGCTGAGCTGGCAGTGCCTCAATTATAGGTTCATCCGGTCCATCTACAACAAAATATATTGTCCAGAAAAATGGAGGGATACACTAACAGCTTTAAGAAGGTATTGGTAAATTATGAATCTTACAGAGAACAGTCACATTCTTCTGAGCCGTTGCATTGCTGAAAGGGTTCATCAGTAACACAGAGTATGACCCGATGTCACTCCGATTAGGTCCACGTATTACAAGGCTGCCTCCCTCTATCAAATAGTGCGAGCCATTTTCCAGTTTTCTTCCATTAAAGCTCCAGATCTCCTGCCCAACAACACCTTGAAGCATGCTATATTGTAAGGTGAACCGCTCAGCTCCCTCCTGGGGAAAATCAGTCTGTGTGCTCAGAGTCACGACCTGGATCACCTCTGTAGACAAAATGTTTTTGGATTGAATAAACTTTCCAACTGTGTTCATATTTCAACATTTAAGGCTGTGAGTGTTGATAATTGGGGCATAAAACTACTTCAAAACTAACATTTTTATTCTTATTAATTGATAGCAAGTCACAAAATGCCAAAGAATTTGGCTTTTTACAGTGTGTTGTATCCTTTCATGTATTAATGGAAATTTCAGCAGGAAAAATTAGTCAAGAAGGATAGCTGCAGCCTTAAGAGGATTGTAAAGTGAAATTCATTAAAAACTTTTGGGGAGAGATGAACTGCGGTTTAAAGTTAGTCCTCTTATAAAAAAAAAAAAAAAAAAAAACACACACACAGATATTGTCTTATTTTGCATGCAACTTTTTGAAGCCTCAGAAAAACATTGCTTCATAATTGTCCAAAGGTTTTCTAACCAGATTGGTTTAAATTAATTTATTAAGCTATATAATCTGTTTATAGACGGGTCTGTTTCGCATGATATTGCCAAAATCCCGCTGAAGACCACATATAGTCAAGCATATTTAGTGCAACACATCTCCACATTCCTTTGCTCACCATATATCCTGAGATTGAAGGTCATGGATACTTTTCCCAGTCCAGACTTTGTCATATTAACAGTATAAATGCCACTGAAGTGCTTTGGCACATTTGTAAAGGTAAGGGATCCATCCTTTTCAATACTGAGTACATCCCTGCTGTCATCCACTATGTCTGGAGGAAAATTGGCGTTTATAGTCCATGTCCCCACAGTTAAAGATCCATTAAACCAGATAACCACTGGATCAGTTGCTCCACTGAAGGACACAGCCAGAGTCACGTTGCTGCCAGCTAAAACATTCACCAGGGTTGGACCAACTGGAGACACCACTAGTTGGCTTTTAATACCTGCTGGGATGAATTCAAGTTAGTTCAAATTGTGAAACAATGTATCCATTTTACCTGCTTTCATTAGAAATTAATAGAAATTTTATTTAGTTATAAAAAATAAAACTAAAAAAAGAATTCACAGCAGCATTGTCCTTTTAAAAAATAAAAATGTTCCCTACAGAACCACAGGCTCACCTTGAAATGCTGAGAATGATAAAACAATCAGGACCAGAGCGCTTAAATTCTGAAACCATTCCAGCTGCTTCATCTCAGACGAACAGAAGAATTTACCAGCTTATTGGCAGTTTGGAGACAATTTAATTATTGCCCCGTTAGATCCAGTGCGTGAAGAAGAAGCGTCAGGTAGCAGTGAGGTGCGCAGGTTCCGGTGCGCACGAGCGGCGCCTCGTGAGGAGCTCACCTGTGCTGTCAAAGCCCTGATTGTTCCATGGGGGCCACGCCCCCTCCTTACGTTAAACACAGGGGGCTTTATATCCCCAATTTCAGCAGGAAAGTATGTGAATAGATGACGCTGGCTTTTCTTTGCCATTTGTTACCTGTTGATCTAGTGCTTTGTGGCTAAAAGGCATCTCTCCATCTATAAATATAAATATCAGTGTATTAAGGTTCTCTTGTGTTCAACAATAGGAAAGCATTCAACAAATATATGTTTGAGCTCACTTTTGGAAAATACAAGAACCAAATGAAAGTGTTCGGGTCGAGTAACTGTAGGTCCATCAGTCCCCACCAACTTTATTACAAAGCTACACCCTTGGTTTTAACATTTTCTTCTGTTTAAAAGGGAAACCCCTCAGTTACCGTTTTTCATTACTCCTGCCTCAGCCTACTCATCTAACAATAGCTCTAGAACATTAGTTTCCTTTAATATTATAATGAAAATATTCAATGATAACTGGTCTCAGTTACTTCACCTATAACTTTGCAATAATGCTTTACGATAAAAGAATAATTACACATTTAAAATTATGTATTTTTAAGGGCCATTAGAGCAACCTCTACCAGCTCCCTCTAGTGGTAAGCATAAAAAAATACAAAATAAATTTTCCAACTTTAATGGACCTCACAGTTTAGACCAAATTTAAAGGTATATTCAGAGTGAATAATCAAAATAAGTGGTACTCCTAATTGTCAATCATTATGGTGATATGTTTAAGGCTGTCCTACGTCCTTGTCCCCATTTTTACTTACCGGTGGGGAGTCTGATAAAGTAGAAAAATTGCAAATCTTCATTTGGAAAGTAAGCTTGTATTAGCAATGCGAACAGCAACTTTTAAACAGAGCGTGTACGAGGAAAAATTAGCTTGTGCACGTTTAATTGGCGTTCCTTCTTGGGAGCGGGCAAAGGGTTGTGCATGTGCATTTTTTTAAACAGTGGAGAGGGTGGGTCTTTTAAAAAAATTTGCAAAAATCCTCTGCTACACCTTTAAACAATGTTCTTTGAAGACTATATGTTATTTTTGACATCACCCTTGCCCCCCCTTAATTTTCTTATCATGTTTGGTTGGTATAAATGCTTTTTCCTGCAGTGATGCATGGATTAAACAAAACAATAGTAATAAAATATATATATATATATATATCATACACAAGTTTAAATAATGCATTAGAAGTTAAACAAAAAATGAGTACCAAAAAAAATAACAGACACTGCTCTTAATATGGAAAAGACTGGCTGCTTTATTGTCACTGTGATATTCTGTACAACCAGAAAATTGAGGCGCTTATGGTAAAATTCTGAATTATAATCTCTCCCTTCCTCTACTGAGACACATTGTCCAGCCATTCCCATAGTCACATATCCATTTACTTTGCAGATTAGCAATTGTAATGAGAATGATCCTAAAAGACATAATTTCTACATACATAGATTAATATTTACAAAATACAATTTACACCTCTGAAAATGTATGACTACATTAGGAGATAAAAGCTGTATGTAAAGCCTCTATAAGATGCTTCTTAACAGTTCTTACAATTAGCAATCTAAAAAGTATGATTATTCAAATTTCACTCACTGCATAAAGTATATTAACATTGGAGTTAAATGAGACAAAATTAGTATTTATGGTAAAATGTACATTGAAAAAAATATCTTTTGGGATAGTTTGACTGCAGGACAGTGTGTCTCAGTGACCATCTTCAACTGTTGGTACCAAACTGCACATTCTCAGAAACAACAGTCTCAAACAGAAGGACAAGACTGATACATAAACTCATTTGGTGGGTGTGTGTATGCAGTACAGTCCTAATTCTTTAGAAACCTGCAACGAGAAAAGAAAAGGTAGACATGAAGAGCCAGAATTTCACAAGTTTCAACTTTCTCTATAAAAAAAAAGTAGACACCTACCACTCTGCTCGGTTGTGTGCTCCTGTCCTCTTGATCTTCTAGGCTCTATACCTTTCCTGCATCCTTTAGTTTTCCCACCAGGTCTTCAACTGTCTCCACTTTCATCCCTGCCTCCCTCTGTGGGGGCTCGTCAACCCTCAGCACCTCCAACCGTGATGTAAGATCCACACCCAGGTCTGCAGGCTTAACATTGGCAATCTTTTTCTTCTTTGCTTTCTGAAAAAAAGAAGGAAAAAAAAGTGTATTTGTTTAGATGGAGGTAAGTGATATCTGACAATTTTCATTGAGATTTTCCACAATCTACAAACATTAATATTATTCAGTATGGTGTGGTTTTTTTAACCAGTTTTCAAGAGAGAATAACTACGAAAACAGCTGAAATGTTAATGGGGTGTAGGCATCTGCTAACTTCTTCGTCTTAAACACATGCAAATGTTTACATACACACAGAGCAGCTCTTTAACAAAGGCCCAAAGTGATTTGGATTTCAGCAGGCTGCACATGTAAACCTTGGTTTGCTTGTGTGCCTGCTTCGATACGTAGATCATATTTTAATGATCAAACTGCGTAGATTCATGGGTGGAGGATTTACAAATGTAAACAATTACCATGTGCTAAGTGATTTTCAAAATTTGAAACTCTGCTGCAGTTTTTGCATCGTTTTTAGCACTTCTTAAAGTGAGGTCCAACATTTCTGCAGTCATTGTTTCCACAAAGGAGCCATTGCTACAATGCCAGAGCATGAAGAGATTAGAAACAAAAGAAAAATTAAATAACATCTGCACAGAAATCTTGGCAGATCACCTACAACATACCCACATAATGAAAGCACAAAAATATTTTAAAAAAATAACTATTGCACATGAAATTTAGTGCCCCTTATTTGTTAGATTTTAAGATGCAGATCTAAGAGTCTTTATTTTGTCTGTATTCTTTACAAAACAGCTAAGTTTAGTCAGATTAACAAGTAAGTTTCTTGTCACAGGACTGATTTAAGGTCCAGGTATTTACAGGGTAATTCTAACACATCTGTATGCTTTGATCTAAAGCATCCCATCACAGCTCTGGCTGTATGCAGCTCTATAATAGCTCTCCTGCTGAAGGATAAACCTTCCACACGGTTTCCTTGGCCATCAAGGTCCTCTTTGTTCTCTAATGCTGTCTAGCATTAAAGGGGTTACAAAAGAGGTCAAAGTGGCAGATAAAGCAAAAACAAAATGCAATTTCAAATAGGACTTGAAAATACAAGTTGAAAAAGAAAATGGAAATGGAATAAGGAATAGCATTTTTAAATGTATGATTAGGAAAGGTATTTATGATAAGATTTATGATTTTTTTTTCTAATATCCATTTGGAAATAGGATTTGAAAATACATCCTAAAATTCCTGAATTTTTATAATGGAACAATTAATATAATTTACAATTCCTCTTTAATAATTCAATTTGAAATGTCTAAAATGCTTTTCAAATTTGATTTCTATTTGCGTGACTTAAATATAAAATTTGGAATGACTGGTTTTCTTTTTCAGAGACTTTCTAGAGTCTAGGTCCTCCATAATCTGGTATCTGGCCAATCAATGCTCAAAACTGATGTTTCTGAATTGTCTTAGGAATGAAAAAGTTATATCCGGTGTATATAATTTTTTTTTTTTTCTAGTATTTATTGTCATTACTCTGTCACAAGTAGAGCGCAACAAAATTCCCTCTCTATATTTAATCCATCCCCTTGGGGAGCATCGGATTGCTATTTGCGGCGCCCGGGGAGCAGTGTGGGGTTAAGGGTCTTTTGCTCAGGGACCAAAAGTGGCAGTCTGTGGGAGTGGGTTTCGAACTCACAACCTCTGGATTCCACGCTCTATGCCCTATATTTACGAAAACAGCTGAATTTATAGCGAGATTAAATTACATACAGTTCTGAATTAGTTGAATGGAAAAGAATAGCACATTTTTCAGGGTTTAATTTGTTAAAATGTTAAATAGAGTGTGTTGTTTTAATTCTACATTATGTGCCACAATAACTTGGACAATCCCATAAAATGCTAGTAATGTTAAAAGGATCTTACTACTCAACAAGTGGTGGGCAGTCTTTGCATGGTTTGGGATTCTGCATTTGTGAGCACAACTTCCTGCTACCTACCATGATATTAGGCAGGGTGGCATATCTGGGGGTGTTGAGTCGGAGGTCTGCGGTCAGCACTGCCGGTGTGTTGATCCTAATAGTTTCCAGCCCACCGTCGATTTCTCTGACCACCTTAATCTGATTTTCTTCCAGTGACACTTCTGATGCAAAGGTACCCTGAAGAAGGAGTAACAATATTAAAAACAGTGCATGTTGAAAACAGAGATACCTGTGTTTTAATAAAAAAAAAGTCCTGTAACTAGAAAAGCTGTTTACTGTGTTCCACCTGCTGGTCAATAGATAGAACTACAAGACTACATACAATACAGTATTACTTGAAAAAAACTAGTTGCTAATTAGCAGAGGTGTCAATTAACAGAGTAGAAATACTTTGTTACCTTACTTAAGAAGAATCTTTGGCTATTTATACTTTACTAGACTAATTATTTATTAGACAACTTTCTTACATTTTTTGAAGTTATCTCTAATTTCTACTCCTTACATTAAAAAAAAAGACTCCTTCATTTTCTTTCATTAAGGTGGTTTTTGTAATGGCCTGTTGGTATTTAACAAAAATCCAAAACCATAAAAATATTTTTTTTTCCCCAGACAATTTCTTTGAAGTTTAAGTCGGTGCTGCAGCAACTTGTTATTCTCCACACACCAAAATAAAAATAGCTTTTCAAGATAAATTTGACACCGTTACCATTACTTATAAAAACTAAGAAAATTAAGTCTAAGGAAGTTATCATCCAGAATTGTAGAAAATTTTCCTTAAATAGGGTAGTGCAGTAAAGCATCTGTCCTTAACATTTTTTCCTGCATTACTTTTAATCTTGTACTTTAGTTTTAAAAATGATATTTTTTCACTTTTACTTGAGTAAAAATCTTACGTTTATTCTACAAAAGTGTTTTTAAACAGTATGATTTGTACTTCTACTTGAGTAAGAAACAATAATCTCTGCTAGTTAGGGTAATCTAACATAAAAATTTCTAAATAACTGTAAATAATCTTGTTCGATCTTTGGATTTGTTTACAGTCCAAGTATTATGGCAATAAGTTATGATCCAACAAGGAAAGAAAATACAACAAGCAGAATGTTACACCATTCACTTTCAGCCTTTGACCAGCTGTGTTGATCGGAGCAGGAATGCTGTAGCTCTTACTGACCAGAGCCAGTCTCTTCTGAACATGATAAGGCGCTGTGAACATGCAACCCCCCCTGGTTATCAGCACGGCCAGAGCCCCCCTGTATTATTTTATCACAACAATAGAGACAGTCTTGTTTAAAATGTATTTCATTGGTTACAAACCTGAGGCCAGTCCAGTAAAGCAGCTGTCATCTGACCAGTCTGATTACAGTCGTCATCGATGGCCTATGAAAGAAATAATCATACGATAAATGAACCTGCTCTCAAAGTAGCTGTACATGTTCAAACATTATTTAAATAAATGTAGAACTTTGATTTGCTTCTTTCACCTGTTTGCCAAGGATTATAAGTTGAGCTTCCTCCTTCTTAGCCAAAGCAGCCAGGATTTTAGAAACCTGCAGAGGTCCAAGATTTTCATAATCTTTCCCACTCACTTCCACATGAATGCCGCGGTCAGCTCCCATGGCCAGAGCAGTACGAATGGTCTCCTGTGAAGAGGAGACATAATTACTTTTCAATAATTATGTCCTTGCAACTTTATCACACACAATATATCAAATCTTCTTATTAATGCAAATTTCCCTTTTAACCATATTTTATAAAATAGGATCGTAGCTATTAAGAAACCAGAATGTCATATAGGCATATAAAAAAATTAAACAAATTCTGATGTTTCCCAATCCTTATTTTATTGTAGCACGGACTAAGGAACTATAAACAAATCGTTTTGTAAGTAAAAAGTATTTTTACCTACTTACTGAATTGCAATATTAAACATCTTAAAATTAATTTCAGAATAACAAAAAAGATTGAAAAAAATCAGTTTCAATGCACAATACAGTAGAATATGCAATATTATGAGCTTTACCCCTTTCCTGTGTAGGATATGTACACTTGGACTAAAAGAGTCTCCTTTTTATTTAGAAATACAATTAAAAAGGAAAAATGCTACCCGTAAATATGAAATATTTCTCATGTCTTTAACACTTTTGGCCAAATTTATGAAGAGCCTTTGTGAAGGGCCTTAAGCCTTCATACTACGTAATTCCCTCCATCGTCACCCGAAAACAGTTGCCTTGCAGCCATCCTCACTCAATGTGCGCAGGACCCCTATGTCACTTTCTCTTTAATTTCACCAATTTGCACCAGGTTCTATTGGTCTGATGCTTAAAATTCTGATACAATATAGTGAGGTAGAGGTTGTGTTCAGGATGGATGAAGTTTTTTTTTTTTTTTTATCACCTGTGATTGCTGTGGCCCACAGCTGACAGCCACAACCTCCTTAATGAGCTTCTTCTCCTTCAGTTTAACTGCTTCCTCCACAGCGATCTCACAGAAGGGGTTCATCGAGTGCTTCACGCCATCCGTCACCACGCCACTGTTGTCGGGCTTTACACGAATCTGAAGAGAAACAAACCAGAGGAGAGTGACTGAAGGGCAGCCAGGTAGCAGGAGCAGTCCACCAAATCTACTTTCATTTGATCAAGCAGAAAACGGAAGATTTCACATCTGCACCTTGAGCTCCATGATTTATAGACCTCAACTAAATAATAAGTGACTGATTACAATAGAATAGCTTCTTAATGTTTATGCATTGGACTGCAACATGCAACAGCAAATAGGAGCTTTGTTCTCTGAAGTATTAAGATGAACACTATTGTTATTTTAGAAAGGCGTTGCAGGGGTAAAATATTAATATCTAGATAAATATAGAGTACTTTTACATCTAGAAGTTGTTTTTTCCCCCCTTCCTGAGTAATAGATAACCTACTATTTAAAGGACTACATTTGGTATACCATAGTTATGCACAGTTTGGCTTCATTTATACCTTTGTTCCATGATCTGAAGGACATTATTGTATTTAAACATTCTCAGCTATGCAGAAAAGTAGCTCTGTAGCGTTTGGATATTTAGTTTACTATTAGATTTTTATTGTAAATTATGCAGAGTTGAAAAAAAACAAAAAAACACTTATGTTGTTGTTTACAGTACCCAAGGCTAAAGTGGAATAGGCCAAATCTGTTACTGGTAGGTCAGAGATTAACAAATGTAATGATGATTGGATGTGTGATCAGTGAATCTTGAATTCATGCAGTTATTCTACCCAACGTTTACTTTTTTTTGATAACAAAACATCTTAGTTGCAGCCTTGATTTTACCACCTGTATGTTAAAAAAAAAAAGGCCTAACTCTCCCTAGGGGTCGCACAATGGCAGCCCAATGCTCCCCAAAAGGATGGGTTAAATGCAGAGGTAAATTTCTCCAATGTGAGATCAATAAAATTCAATGATCTTTATTCTAAGACATACCTGTGCTGCAATAAAAGGCAAGTGGCATCAAATATGACAGAGGGCCTGAATGCATAGTGCCTGAATACTTGGACATTAGTTTGTTGCAATCCAAGCAGTACTTACTAATATTACTACTAGCAGTACTAATAGCCATATAGATACTCAGAAATTCTGATTAAACTACCTTTGCTTGATATTCTGTAGCTTTGGCTGAGGTGCTATAGAACCTTGTATATTGTTTGGTACAAATCTAAGTTGCATAGAACAAAACACAATTTCTATATTGGGTATTACAATTTCAATGTACTAGCAAATAATGGTTTCATTCTAAAGAAAGAAAATTAAACTTAAGTGCATTTTCCAAACATATTTGATCGTCTAGTCCATCTGCACAGATCCAGTACTCGCAGGTGCAAATATACTGCAGAGATCCTGTTGGGGGCAGCTGAGACAGGAGTGTTCTTGTATGAACTTCATGTAACTGATAGTACATTTTGGCTTTGCTCAACTGATCAGACTCCAGGAAAAAGATTAATAAACAATACAACAATATTCTATTAATACGCGACACCCCTGTTTATCACTAGTATTTTCTTAGTGACTGTATATTTTTAAAAACCTAGACCGCAGCCTGTGAAGACCAACCATACAGCCAGGCAAAGGTTACACAACAACAAAGAAAAAACTGAACCTGAAGAGCATTGCTGCGTCTTTAATCAATGTAACGTGTGTTGCAATCACATTGAGCATATGACCTTTACAGCACATTATAAGTTAAACGTATAAAATGTATGAACAGTCGGCTAATATTAGCTTTAAAAGCCAGCAGCCCATGAATAAACCACTCAAAATACAATTAAAGGAAATTGTATCAGCTTAAAATAGAAACCTATGTCTTACCTTAACTGCATAATCGATGACACGCTTTACTCCAACAAGAACACGGCCCGACATTGTGATTTAAAACGCTTAAAGATCACAAACTGCCACCAATACAGTCACCGCAGTGAACCTTCAACCAAGGAGGACGAGTCGGAATTTTTTGAGGGTGAAACAACCAGCGATTAAGACACCGCCTACCATTTCAGCCAATCACAGGCAACTACTGAACTACGTCTTTGGTGCTGATTGGCTAAAATTCGATGACAGATGTTGCTAAATTAATCGGAACAGTGCTGCAAAATAATTCACTCTTGGATTAATAAAACAGCGATATATTTTACTTTTGTAAGGGGAATAATTTGGCAATGCGCGCTATCAAAAATAAATACTAAAAGTTCATCGAATTTTAAAGTACTGAAACTGTTTTTAATAGACATTTTTTTGCGGTGCTCATTCATATATGTTGTTAAGGAAACAAAAAGAAGAAAGGTTCCGCTTTATGTAGGGCAAAGTTCATGATTAGATTCACTGTGATGGAAGTTAAATTAGAAACAATTAAAACGAGATATATGTATCTGATTCAAATATACTGGAACAATGTATGTATTGGATGCATTGAATATACTTCAAGCATCTTTTCCTCCTTTGTGCGCCTTCTGTTGTTTATAAGAGCCAAATTTCTCCATTGTGAGATCAATACATTTCTGTTCTGTTCTCTTCTATTCTATTGTTTTTTCTTTAATAAATGTGTTTTTTTTAATTATTTGATTAATTTAATTATAATTTTATTTTTTTGCTTTCCGGATAAGCCTATCTTTACGGAAGAGGATTAGGGCCACAGGAAAAAAAAAAGAAAGATAACTGATTTTTACATTTTATTTCAGTATAATACAAGAAAAAATTCAGAATTATGACTTTAATCTCAGAAGTCTGACAGCTAACATGTTAGCATCAAGCCATAGCCATGTCCGTTTTAAAGACTTTCTCTTGTTTTAATCACCTTCTGCTCTTCCTTTAATGGTATAGCTTCACCTGGGACCCCTTGGGCATGTAAAAAGTCACCTAATTCCATAATTTTTCCACCAATGTGTTACTGGCCCTCCCAAACAACCCACATCTTTGTCAGTGAAGCTGAGTGCTCTCACATCTCTTCCTTCATGGTGCCCATCTACATTAAGATCCAAAATTCTGAGATTTAAGTCAGAATTCTGAGATTAAAGTCAGAATTCCTGAGAAAAAGGTCAGAATTCTAAGATTAAAGTCAGACTTCTGAGATTAAAGTCAGAATTGTGAGGAAAAAAGTCAGAATTGTGAGAAAAAAGCCAGAATTCTGAGAAAAAAAGTCAGAATTCTGAGAAAAAAAGTCAGAATTCTGAGATTAAAGTCAGAATTGTGAGACAAAATTCAGAGCCAGAATTGTCGGAAAAAAAGTCAGAATTGTGAGAAAAAAGTCAGAATTCTGAGAAAAAAAGTCAGAATTCTGAGATTAAAGTCAGAATTGTGAGACAAAATTCAGAGCCAGAATTGTCGGAAAAAAAGTCAGAATTGTGAGAAAAAAGCCAGAATTCTGAGAAAAAAAAGTCAGAATTTTGAGAAAAAAAGTCAGAATTCTGAGATTAAAGTCAGAATTGTGAAAAAAAAGCCACAATTCTGGGTTTAAAGGCAGAATTTTGAGGAAAAAAGTCAGAATTGTGAGATTAAAGTCAGAATTTTGTTTAAACAGTCAGAATTCTGAGGGGAAAAAAATCAGAAATGTGAGATTCAAATCAGAATTCTGAAAAGCCAGAATTCTGAATTTTTTCTCAAATACTGAAATAAAATGTAAAAATCAGTTAACTTTTTATTTTATTTTTTTCTTAGTGACCCTAATCCTCTTCTGTATTTCTGTGACATTGATAAATGAAAACGAAAGCGCAGATTAAACCCTCCGGGCTGCTTTTCTTCGCAGCACAGTGGAGTCTCCTCTGCTCAGTCTCAGCCACAGCAGAATCTGCGGCCTCCATTTTAACTCCGACACCGAGTCGCACCTCACGTGTCCTGGGCCGTCTCTCTCACATGACCCCAGTGTTTGTTCCCGTGATCAGCACTCCCATCTCCGTCTGTGACAGCGAATATCACTTTTTATTTTCACCCTGATGGATATGCTCGAACAAAGTCTGGACACTGCAAGGTGAGCGGAGCTCTGTCAAAATGGCTAACAGAGGCAAGCTAGCAACTACATGCTATTTAGCAAAGCTAGTTTAGAGCGCTTAGCGAGGCCTGATCCGATAAACTGCTGTCAAAAAGAGTTTGAATATGAGAGTTAGCTACTAAAGTGAATGACTTTTAAAACAGACGACATCTCACGTGACACTTAAGGATACTTAATGAGAATGCATCGATTAGCTAATAACATTTCAGCAGCTAAGATAGCTTAAGCTAACTGTTAAAATACAAAATATTGTTGTCAGCAGTTGAGGTAAACACAGAAACCGCAGTGAGGATGGGGTTTTCTTTAAAATAACATTGTTGGTTTGCGGAAATCTTGGCTCGGTTTGGTTTGAGAGAAGCTGAGGGTCATTTTATGATGTTTGTTTGATCATTAAAGCATTTTAAGCGTTTCGTAGTTTCTGAAGTTGTTTTTGCATTCAAATTGCAGCCAAGAAAAGCAAGAAGAAGAGGTTGTCCAGACATCTGAGGGTGAGAATTTGTTTGGCTTGCTGTAAAAGTTATGTATGTCAAAGATGAAATAAATCGAAAGAAAATTTATCTTATTTCACACCTTCAGAAACTCCCTCTCTGGATTCCACAAGCATCTTTACAAGGTCTTGTTTTTGTTTAGGGGTTGATAAACATATTTCACCCAAAACAACCTCCAACACACATCTCTAAGAGACAAATCTCCTTATTGAACAGTATGAATACTTCAATGGAGAGATTAATCTAGCAGGCATCTGGAAATTTCACACAAGGACGATTAGACTTGTTCACAAATCATTTATTTGTATATTGGCAGATTTGTTTTTGGTTTTTTTGGCCACATAATTAAGGTGTGTTTTGGTTAGATGCCTCAAAATACATCTACATTTCTACTAATCGGCCATTCTGAAGTCTTCAAGGCCAGATTATCATTATGTCTGGCTTTCTTATATAATTAAAATAACATTTTAATTCTGGCATGTAACATATTACATTCAAACTCTGTGATAAAGTATTTATTTTGAAAACTCCCCTTCATTCATTTATTAAATGGAAATCTGTTTGGAAATCCTGACTGGGGTGAAAAAGTAAAAGATAAGCCTGTTTGGCTGAAACTGAAGATAGAAAATGGAAACATTTTATCCCTTAGCTTGCATAATAATACATGGATCAATGTTACTATAACCTTGATACTTCCTTTGTAGTTTTTTTTTCTTCCTTTTCTTATAATATCTTGTGTTTTTTCTTTGTTTTTTATCCCCTGCAAAAAAGCAGCAGGAGAAGAGCAGACGGCTGTAACAATAGCCAGTGTTCAACAGGCTGCAGCATTCGGAGACCAGAACATCCAATATCAGTTCCGCACAGAGGGGGGGCAGGTAAGAAACTTATGGATCGATGGATGACACTGCAGCATTGATGCACCATGATGCATATGGTGGCATATGCATCATGTGCTTTTAAGAGAAAATGATACAGGGTTTGTAACAAGCGTGTGGAGTATTTGTTTCCAGTCCTCTTTACCATGATATTCCTGAATAAAAATAGGCCGTTTCTCAATATGTGTACTTGTATGTTCTCATGTGCTCTTGAAACGTCATCAGCCTCAGGTCTAGTACTGTTCCAATTCACAAGAACAGCAGACCGAGAAGTCCTTGAATGTTGTTCTCGCCCCTCCCTCTTTACCGAGCATGTCCAGTCCTGAGATTGACAGCTGTCACAGCATGCACTGTGGCAACAGCTGCTTTCAATGGAGCGCTCCATTGAAAGTTAAAAGTTTTCTTTCTGTTGCTGTTGTTCAATAAAAGTATGTTTTAAGATCATTTTAGGTGAGAACATTATACTTTTAATCGTCGCTATGTGGTCCATTTACCGATTTAATGTGTAATAAAAAAAAATAAAAAAAACATTTCTGAAGTTGAGAGGACCACGGCAACCAGCGGACCTCCGAGGGTAACGGCAGCCAAGGCTAACCGCAGCCTGTCTGCAGCAGCCCTCTCAGTGTAGCCGTGTGTGAAGGACCGCTAGCTCTGATGCAGAGTTTTTTGTTTTATTTCGCAAAATGTTTATTTGATTTGTGTTTATCTGCCTCTGTTCAATATTATTACCCCATTAAAAAAATGGTAAGAATTTATAATTTTCTAAAGATTATTAATAACAGAAGGTGAAATGTAGCTGCAGACGAGCCGGGCATGTGTTGACATCACCAGTACGCTTCTGTTCAAATTGACCCATATTTATGCTGTGTGCTCCCATTTTCCCTGAGTCTTTCCTGTGTTCTTCTCAAAAATAATACCTGGCGAAGACACAAGTCCGTACTCACGTTCTTGTGAATTGAGAATCGGCAATACTTTCAACTAGGGCTGTTGTAAACGAATATTTTAGTAATCGAGTAATCTATCGATTATTCTTACGATTAATCGAGTAATCGGATAAAAAAAATTTATAAAATAAACTATTGGCAAATCTGCAATAACACCAGTTAGTCCAGATCAGTCCAATATCTCCTTTTTGAGCATCCCTAACAGTTAAATGTTTGTAGTTTAGAAAGTTTACTTGTAACAGTAGTTTGCTTTAACCTGATGAAAAGTTATAAGATATTAAATTATATTCAAATAATAAAGTGGCAGGCTCACAAATATGCTTATAAAAATGTCTAAATGTAAAGGTTTGAGTTTGTACAGAGTTCTGCAGCCTTAACTAGTCATGATAAAATGCAAAAATGTTGCTATTTTTATTAAAACGATGCTATTATTTATTCTTGATTGCTTAGGTATAAACAAATATAGAATTACAACAAAAAATATTAATCAAAAATTTCTAATTCATACATAACAGTAGCGAGAAGAAAAGACTGTAACTTTTCAGGATGGAAAGACACCAATAAATAAATGCTTTTCAGCTTATGCCTGTAATCTGTTGCTGCGTATTTTTATTAACAAACTTACATTAAGTCCTGCATAATTTCTCTCAGTTCCACCCTCACATACAATTTACACTA